TTGTAAATAATAATTTAACGCACGCACAAGGCAATAGTATATTATCATAGTATATAATAGTATATTATCAAGTACATCTTCTTCGTACACATCCCTGTTTTGATAAATTACCGAAAGATGTTAGAACACTTTTAGGTACACCACGTGCACGTGTTATTACGTTTGATGTAGAACCAGGGGAATACGTCCATTTTGATCTCGAAGTAGGGATTATTCAAAATCTTCCTAATGTTTCCACGATTAATCAGTTGGAATTAGATTTTAATATAGATGGATGTAGTTTAGATAAGTCAAGTAGTATTCAGTTATGGCCTATTCAATGTAGAATTGTAAATGTGCAACATACAAAACCAATAGTTGTAGGAATTTATAAAGATGCAAAAAAACCGTATGATCCTAATATTTTTCTTCAAAAATTTATTACAGATATTAATAGAATCATGTCTAGCGGAGGTATTAATTTTCATGGTAATAGAGTGCCGATACGACTGAGATGTTTCGTAGCTGATGCGCCAGCTCGAGCATTTATTTTAAATCATCGTAATCATATGTCTTGTCGTCCCTGTTCCAAGTGTAAAGTTTCAGGTACACTTTATGAAGGTCGTAATGTCTTCAACGGTATTAATCATTCCCCTCGAACCGATGAGGAATATACTAGATGCTTAGATGAGGATCATCACAGAGGTAACAGTTCATTAGCAACATTACCAATGAGCATGGTTTCACAAGTTCCTTTTGAGTACATGCACCTTGTATGCTTGGGCGTTATGAAAAAACTTCTCCTTGCATGGATATATGGAAAATATTCGCGTCTGTCAAAATTGTCAGGAAGATCCATTTCTATTTTATGTTCGAGAATGAATATTCTTAAAAGATATTGTCCGTCGGAGTTTGCGAGACGCCCTAGATCTCTTGACATGTGTTAAAGCAACAGAATTTCGTCAATTTTTGATTTATACCGGGCCAATTGTAATGTTTAATCTATTGGAAGAACGATTGTATAATTTCTTATTCTCATTTCCTATTCTTGCATGCAGCGATAAGAGTTTTGATATTCAATTCATTATCAAAACGATATTTAAACTTTGCAGAGCTTGCATTACAAAAATTTGTTCTTCGAAGTCCGAATCTGTATGGTCCAGCCTTTAAATCTTATAATGTACATGGTCTTCTTCATCTTACCGACGATGTGAGACATTTTGGTAGTTTAGATTCATTCTCTGCCTTTCCTTATGAAAGCAATATGACAATTTTTAGGAAATATTGTCGAAAACCGGGTTTACCTCTTCAGCAATTCTTCAATAGGATGACAGAGATAGACATTCACAGAACAGTCGATGACCATAATATGAATTCATCTATTCACGTAATTCCATTGAGTAATAGTGATATTAATTGTCGTCAATATCGTAAAATTCAATTTAATGGAATATCGTTAAGTATAGAGGCACGTGATAATTGTTGCATTTTAAATGATGGATCCATTGGTATCATTTTTAGCATTGACATGAACAATAACTGTTATCGTTTAGGAATAAAAAAATTTTTACAAATACAGGATTTTTATGATATCGGCATGTTATCTTCGGCTCTCCAAATATACAAATGTTCCATATTGAGTAACGAGATTTCCTATATTCATTCTCGACGAAGTTCTTGCAAAGTGTTATAGGATGCCTCTTTGGAATTCAACATCGACGGAAGATAGCGACAGTAATGAGGATGATTCAGAAATATCTGAATATGTTGTCGCTGTTATCATACATAGTGAAAAGTCGTAAGAAATATATGTTTTTCAATTAATTCGATAATTTCAATGAACACAAGTAATTGTGGTTTGTACTCTTTTTATATATACTCTTTTCAAATATTATCACGTCCTTGTTTCCATCTTCTTGTCACGTTATAATTGATAAATGCTTAAAGAAAAGAATGTGTTACATTCATTTTTTAACAAACAAAAATGGTATAAAAATGTCAAGAAGGAGCGATATGTATATGTAGATAATAAAATATAGAATATGAAGAGTTATAACTTATATAATTGGCAAATATTTTTAGCATGTTTTGTTCACTTATAATATCAATTATCAATAGAGCAGCATATATTAAATACTTGAAATATAAACATCTAGGAAATACACTTTCTTTTATTAATACAAAAATTGGCGCATTCTATGTCTTTAATATACTTAGATTTGATTCCTTGTTGAAATAGAGAAGCAAACAATGCTTAAATAATCATCAATGGAATGTTAGTATTCTCTTAGTAGAATATCTTTCGATTGTTTATACAATAATTCGATTGCTTATTACATATTCTAGTATGTCAATAATTTCACTTACACACAGATGGAGCGACCGAAACGTACTGTTGCAAAACCAGCTCGCTACCAGACGACCTCTTCAGAAGACGAAGCTGTCAGACGTCCATCGAATAGAGCCCCCAATTCATCGACAATCACGGATGCGGAGATCGACGATGACATCGGCGACCTACGAACAACTTTAGAAGATCCATCCACGAATATGAATAAGACCACCAATTACAATATTTATTCACAATCTCAACAATCCCAACAACAATCCTCACAACAAGCCTATTCTCCACAAATAGCCTCAAACATATCATCACATACATATATTCAATCTACATCAACTACATACCCAACACTTCCAACAATTTCACACACATATCCTTGCAACTATGATAATAACATTAATTCAAATTCTGTTATACCCATTTCGACACGTGCAGACGGTGTTATCTTTAATACTAATACACATGGAAATCAATTTCAGGTGAATAGGAGAAGCTGTTGGTCATCGCATCAAGATCCGATAGATGCAAGAAGCAGTGGGCCAGTGCAAAATAATTATCAAGATAATACTGAAACACAGACTAACGAGAAAAGTGATCGGTAAATTTATACGTAAAAACTCTCTATAACTTAAATTTGTTTAATCATATCACATCAGTAATCTACAATTAATATTTGCAGATCCATTAATTTATTGCACGAACGCATGGATCGGATGGAAGCAGAATTCAAGTACATAAGTATTAGCTAGATGTATTTTGTATTTATTAATATGTAACATACCTTTGCAACACTAATTTTTCTTTGTATTTCTTTTTTATTTACAGGAGGACGAATACTGTAATTCAAAGTATTTTAAAGTGCGTACAGGATCATCGTGGTGTACCACGAAAGCCCGCAGTCCTCCCTGTATCATCACTAGCGGAAATGGATGATTTTGAAAATATAGACAAAAATCGTTTCACCGAAGTTGTAAGTGAAAAAAAAATAACGAAATTCATATTTCATCTTTTTTCTTCACACACACACACACACGCACGCACGCACACACGCACGACACACACACACACACACACACACACACGTGCGCACACAGGTGCTCTATTTTAATATTGAATATGAACTTAACATATGTTAACGTTAATATAATCTGTACTTTTTCTTTTTCAGGTTAATTATTTGCAC